AATTTTTTTAAATGGAACCTTGGGGTCCAGTTATAGTACCTGAAATTTCAAAACTTCTAGTATGTTGAAACTAAAAAACAGTGATTAACTGAACCTGATCTTTAGAATTGTTTGAAGGTGTTGATGGGACCTTTTTCTTTTTAATTTTCTTTCGTTTGATCGTCTGGGTTGAGGGTTACAGTTGAAAGCAGTGTTGCTTTGATGACTATTAATTTGTAGTACCTATACTTACTCATATCATCATTTCTCAAATGGTGAACATTATGAATATCTCGATCTTTCTTTATGGTCGCTGATGAAGTATTTTTTGGTTTAAACATATTAGAGTAGGTAAAGCACTGTTGAAGAACTGGTTGACTAAAATATTGTAAATTTCTTTTTTAAATTAGGTAAAAACATGGTCAAAATTGTTGAATGCCTTCTGCACCACTGGAAAGCTCGAGCTGGAACTTATGTACAAAATTCAGGTCCAGTGCTATGAGGATGCCAAACTGATGAAGCTATTTCCTGAAATCATAAGATCACTTTATGACCAGGATGTGTTGGCAGAAGACACTATTCTTCACTGGTTCCGTAAAGGAACAAACCCTAAGGGCAGGTATGCAACCTGTTATACTATTGTGCTAATTGTACCCATTTGATCTTGAATATGATTTTTATGTTGAAGTGATGATGCTATTTATCTGGCAAAGCCACCAATTCTACTATTTTGTGGTAATTTCTTTGGCGCAACTGGAAATCCTTCAAAGATATTTAGGGTGTGTTTGATTGGCTTTATTTTCCATGGAAAATATCATTTTTCTATCCAAGTTTTACTTTTGGGGTGTTTGATTGACATTTTTTTCCATGGAAAATATTTTTCAAAAGTTGGTCTCGTGACTATATTTTACTTGAAACAAAAAAAAAAAAAATTAACATTTTCTTTAGGGAGGGATAGTTTTATGTTTCAGGCAATTCACACACACACACTCTCTCTCTCTCTCTCTCTCTCTCTCATCTACCCACCAATAAAATAAAAGATGGACATGTATAACATTTTTTAGATTGAAAATTAAACCAATCAAACATATGTAATTAATAATTTTCATGCAAATAAGTTCTAGGCAATTCATTACCTAGAACTTATATTTTTCATGCAAGTTCTATGCTTGTAATCAAACACATCCTTAGTTCTTTTCTACATCCTTTTCCTTCCCTTTTACGGGAAGTAAATAGTATACTGCTAATAGAATCAGGTTGATCTCTGGCAGCTGCTAATTCTTACTTTTAGCTATAGTATGACACAAATGATTCTATGCTGAAGATATAAGTGAATAGTTGGTGGATGAAGATCATATAGAAAAGTTCGTATTTCATTTTTCTTCTTTAAATCGAAGGAATGCCCTTTTTTAGTGATCTTTAACAGATTTTCTCTATTTCTCTTTATCCTCTGCACTAACACTTCCACCCCCAGCCAAAAATATAAAAGAAACGAAAATTTGAAATTTAAAAATAAAGATAAACGAAAAACGAAAGAAGAAAATTGAAATCCCACCCAAAATGGCTCTATCCTTTCCTTTTTCAATGAAAGAACATTCAGTTGATACATTTCGTTAAGTTGCAGTAAGTTCAACGTGCTTTGAATTGATGGGTAATGCTGATCTTAATTTCTGGTTTTCAGCTCATGAGAATGCAAGGGTCTATTTGAATCATAAATAGGCTAAACAGCAGAAGTGATGAAATTAGAACTCATCAGCTGCTGTCACCTTTTCTTTGTACTTCTGCATACCTGCCACTCTTTATGATTATTGTTATTGATTTTTTTATTATTTTTTTTCTTTTTGTTGCTTCTGCAGGCAAACCTTTGTGAAGGGATTAGAGCCCTTTGTGAAATGGCTGGAGGAAGCCGAGGAAGAGGATTAAATTTCTGTTGACATTTTGAGCTATGACTGTTTGCTGTTACTTTCTTGGATATGGCATCATTGAATATCGCCACTGGTTGTAAGAAGGCTAAGCACATCTATGAGATGAATGATTTGTTATGGTTAAAATTGATGAATTGTTGCAATGGTAATGCGTTCCCTCCTTCCCTCCCTTGTAGTAAATGACCGAAGTTTGAATTAATCATGTCAAGTAAAACAACTGTTCATTTCGTTGGCACACCGTCAATACCCAGTGCACTTTTGTTGATTTGTGCTCGAGTTTCTATGCCTTTCACAAATGCATGGAAAGTACCTATATTTTCTGGGTGTTGCTCCTTAAACGTGCTTTTGGGCGTTTACTTGTACAAGGTCTAATGTGCATTAGAGAAGCATGATAAATTGTTTTCTGTTGTGCACATAGTATGTTCAAAATTTGCATGTAAAATAGATTGTGGAAATGGTATCATAAATTCTTGCATAGAGAATTAAGCTTGGTGCACGCCCCCGTGTGTGTCAAAAATTGGCCATTGTTTGGAAAAAGTATGTCAACTCGCATGGGTGTCAAATTAGGTGGTCAACCTAGATGTACATGTAGCATGATTCTTGCATAAATGGATTTGAAAATGGAGATGGATATGATCCATTGGTTGGTTTATTCAAATGTGATTTCATTTTATTGCTATATTGATATATTTGGTATGGGAAGCTAGATAAAGTTCCTTTAACATGTGGGAAAAATCATTGGTAGGTAGGCTTTTATGCCTATCTCAACAACGCGATTCCGTTGATAAATAAAATCCCGACATTTTCGTGTCCCACCTCCCAAAAATTGGATTGTATTTCAAAACATGATTTTTAGATGGTTTAACTTCGTTAACTTGAAAAGTAGTTATCAAATTCAATAAAAACTTTGTGAATTAATGGAGCTTCGATGAATCTCTATTAATTCTACTAGCATGTTAACAATTGATGGACTTTTAAATTAGTCAAAAATATTTATATATTGCATGTTAGTGTTAGGATGTAAAACTTGTGAATTTATGCGAAAAGGACACAACATAGATCAAAAGGGGACAACGTTTTCAAAGAACCAAAAGGCTTACCATACAAAATGACAATAAAAGTTTTTTTTTTTTTCCTTTCAAATACTTTTAGTAAGTAAAAAATTTTAAGTATCCTAATCAAGCTAGTAAATGACACACGATTCTAAGAATATGAAAATAAGTACAAAACTAAGATAAATATTCTAACATTCTCCCAAATTCACAATGCAACAATAAAAAGCAACAAGAGTTTGTCGACTAAAAAATAAAACATTGAATGGATGCAACTTCGTAAAAACTTCAGAAAGTTGCACCGAGGAAGAAACAAAATGTAAAATATTTGTGCAATCCTAAATGTGGTGGCGAATGACATGACAATCAATTTTAATTTGCTTGGTCTGATCATGAAACACGAAATTGTTAGTCTAGCAACACGGTACTCGACTTCGTAGAAGATCAAAAAAAGACATACTGTTTTTAACTTTTTCAAGAGATAAGAGAATCGTTCAAAAATATACAGAAAATAATGGTGGATTTAAGGTTTGTCGGATCATTAGTCCAATTAACATCAGAATATGCAAGTAACTGAAGATAAAATCGATAAAAATAAAAGATCAAGAAAGGAAGTACCACGAAGATAACTACAAATAAGAACAATAGCAACCCAATGATATAGGAGATGCAACAAACCAACTAGCAATATGAATATTAAAAATAGTACTTGAACGAGTAAAAGTAAGATATATCAAGCAATCAACAATAGTACTATATAAAATAGAATTAGTCAAAGGTGTACCATAGGATAAGCACCAGTAAGATGAGCATGCTCAATGATGTTTGTGGCATACTTATATTTAGGTAGAATATTACCCTTCTTCAATGATGTTTGTGGCATACATAAATTTAGGTAGAATATTACCCTTTGAAGAATAAGCAATCTCTATGCCAAGGAAGTAACATAATCCCAAATCCTTCATTTCAAGTTGAAGAGCTCATATCATCGACTTACAAAGAAAAAGAAAGAATGATACGACCTATTGAGGTATATCATACAAAGCAAAATCATGATGACCGGAAGAAAAACCAAGAAAGACGGTAACAAGCAGAAAACTCCTCAGACCAGACACGAGGTGCCTATTTAAGACCATAATATGCATTCTTAAGACTGTAAACTTCTCAATGGTTATGGGAAACACAAGGAGGGGCACCATAGAAACTTCCTCTGAAGATTCCCATTCATGAAAACATTCTTAACCTCCATACGGTAGATATCCGGCCGATGAACAGAGGTAGCTGCAAAAAGTGTACGAACAATAGTCATATTTGCGAAGGTTTCTCATAATTTATACCATACTGTTGAGTAAGTTTTTTAGCAACTAAAGTGGCTTTGTAGCACTCAACTGAGACATAATATTTGATTTTGATAAATGCGATTCAGTGATTGTGCAGATTCGATTCGTATGATTTCTGATCAAGGCGGTCTGATTTTAATCTAGTGGTGTCGAATGGTGATAGTTATGATAGGGAAAATGATAAAGCTACTTTGTCGGAAGGATTTGACAGAAGTCTTGACATAATTGCATGTTACAGTAGATAATTGAATGAAAACACTGACGGTGCTTTAAACTGTCCAATGATAAAATGCCAAGTGACATTATGTCAAACTTTATGTCAACCTTGATATTCAAGTAGCATGATTGTAGTGGAAATGGGTAGCGGCAGTGGACTTGACCATAAATATCGAAGTGGTGAGATTGGGAAAGCATCAACCAGTATGCAAGTCGAACTAACGGAAAATGCATTCTCACAAATATTTAACACGACCAAAAAATGTCACGACAAAGGAGAGAAGGGAGAGTTGGATTCTGCAAAAATTCCAATTCTACCTACATTAGAGAGGAAAAGGATTATTCTCAGGCAATCTATTATAGCCGGGCGGGACCACCTCTCCGGTCCAGAATAAATATCCGAGGCCCCTAATTTTTCGAGAAAGAAAGAAAAAACATATGTAGGAAAACAGGAATTACAAAATAAATCTAAACAAGATTTTTGGCTTTCACTTTCTACCCTTTGTATCTCCTGCAGCATTTTCCTCTTCGTCGGGGGGCACATATCTTGGCAAGGTCAATAATGTGTTCACACGGGCGACTCCTTCGAGAGCGGACCACTCTTTTCCAACCTCCACGTTTGTTTCTTCAAGGTCGGAGACTTCCTCCTCATTTGCTTCTGAAGCCTCAACTTGTTCACTAGTTCTGACAGTACCAGAGCTGTTAAATCCGGGTGGATAAAGAGAATAATCTTTCTTGTAGAAATCATCCTCTGCTGTAACGTTTTTCTTGGATTTTGCAGATGAAATAGTTGATTCCTTTGAGTTTGAATCAAGAAAGAGGCAAACCACTGCACAGTCGTCAACCTTGGAAGTTGGATACTTGAGCTTCCAACCCCGAACTGCCGACTCTACTAGCACGCGGGCTGCATATGAACGCGTGGGAAAAACGAACAAACCTGAAATTAAATTAAGTTATTATTTTGTCTTCATCACAATCAATTTTAATGTGCTTGGTCTGATCATGAAACACGAAATTGTTAGTCTAGCAACACGATACTCGACTTCGTAGAAGATCAAAAAAAGACATACTGTTTTTAACTTTTTCGAGAGATAAGAGAATCGTTCAAAAATATACAGAAGCTAATGGTGGATTTAAGGTTTGTCGGATCATTAGTCCAATCAACATCAGAGTATGCAAGTAACTGAAGATAAAATCGATAAAAATAAAAGATCAGGAAAGGAAGTACCACGAAGATAACTACAAATAGGAACAATAGCAACCCAATGATATAGGAGATGCAACAAACTGACTAACAATATAAATATTAAAAATAGTATTTGAACGAGTAAAAGTAAGATATATCAAGCAATCAACAATAGTACTATATAAAATAGAATTAGTCAAAGGTGTACCATAGGATAAGCACCAGTAAGATGAGCACGCTCAATGATGTTTGTGGCATACTTATATTTAGGTAGAATATTACCCTTTGAAGAATAAGCAATCTCTATGCCAAGGAAGTAACATAATCCCAAATCCTTCATTTCAAGTTGACGAGCTCATATCATCAACTTACAAAGAAAAAGAAAGAATGATACGACCTATCGAGGTATATCATACAAAGCAAAATCATGATGACCGAAAGAAAAACCAAGAAAGGCAGTAACAAGCAGAAAACTCCTCAAACCAGACGCGATGTGCCTATTTAAGACCATAATATGCATTCTTAAGATTGCAAACTTCTCAATGGTTATGGGAAACACAAGGAGGGGTACCATAGAAACTTCCTCTGAAGATTCCCATTCATGAAAACATTCTTAACCTCCATACGGCAGATATTCTACCGATGAACTGAGGTAGCTGCAAAAAGTGTAGGAACAATAGTCATATTTGCTAAGGTTCCTCATAATTTATACCATACTGTTGAGTAAGTGCTTTAGCAACTAAAGTGGCTTTGTAGCACTCAACTGAGCCATCATATTTGATTTTGATAAATGCGATTCAGTGATTGTGCATATTCGATTCATATGATTTCTGATCAAGGCGGTCTGATTTTAATCTAGTGGTGTCGAATGGTGATAGTTATGATAGGGAAAATGATAAATCTACTTTATCAGAAGGATTTAACAGAAGGCTTGACATAATTGCATGTTACAGTAGATAATTGAATGGAAACACTGACAGTGTTTTAAACTGTCCAATGATAAAATGTCAAGTGACATTATGTCAAATTTTATGTCAACCTTGATATTCAAGTAGCATGATATCATGGTGAGATTGGGAAAGCATCAACCAGTTTGCAAGTCCAACTAACGGAAAATGCATTCTCACAAATATTTATCAACACGACCAAAAAAATGTCACGACAAAGGAGAGAAGGGAGAGTTGGATTCTGCAAAAATTCCAATTCTACCTACATTAGAGAGGAAAAGGATTATTCTCAGGCAATCTATTATAGCCGGGCCGGACCACCTCTCCGGTCCAGAATAAACATCCGAAGCCCCTAATTTTTCGAGAAATAAAGAAAAAACATATGTAGGAAAACAGGAATTACAAAATAAATCTAAACAAGATTTTTGGCTTTCACTTTCTACCCTTTGTATCTCCTGCAGCATTTTCCTCTTCGTCGGGAGGCACATATCTTGGCAAGGTCAATAATGTGTTCACACGGGCGACTCCTTCGAGAGCGGACCACTCTTTTCCAACCTCCACGTTTGTTTCTTCAAGGTCGGAGACTTCATCCTCCTTTGCTTCTGAAGCCTCAACTTGTTCCCTAGTTCTGACGGTACCAGAGCTGTTAAATCCGGGTGGATAAAGAGAATAATCTTTCTTGTAGAAATCATCCTCTGCAGTAACCTTTTTCTTGGATTTTGCAGATGAAATAGTGGATTCCTTTGAGTTTGAATCAAGAAAGAGGCAAACCACTGCACAGTCGTCAACCTTAGAAGTTGGATACTTGAGCTTCCAACCCCGAACTGCCGACTCTACTAGCATGCGGGCTGCATATGAACGCGTGGGAGAAGAACCCACAATGTCGACCACTTCTTTGTTTGTTAGCACATCCCAAATCTGAAATTAAAATAAAATTACACCAACCCCCGAACAAATGTCAAGAAACTGAATACAGTCCATCAATATAAACCTTGAGTTCCATACCCCATCTGTTGCCAATACTATAAACTCATCCTTATCAGTAATATGTTTATAGCAAATTTCAGGCACTGAGATAAGACCGAAATCCTTGAGACAGAAATCTCCAAATGCACGAGACATTGCAAGGCCAGGAGAGTCGTTATTTGGCAGCCACACTCTTGCAACCTCAGGTTCATCCTGAAGGGCAAAAACTCGTCCTTTACATTTGTGAATCCTCTCTGCTTCCACTATAAGATCATTATGGAATGAGTTAAGAAAGAGATGATTCTTGTATCTCATACTAAATGGATCATTTTAGTTTGACAGGATCCCACATCAGAATTTATTTACTCACATCACATAAATTTAGTTGAGCAAAATCAATATTGGCAACAAATGCCGAATATCACTCCTGGAGAGCTAGTTTTAAGATATATATGATTACTGTTAATACCTGGATATTTGTATTCATATTCCAATAGCCACACTAACATGCAGAATATGTGAAACAACAATAAGATATTTGCAAAACAACTACCAAAGAACGAATTTAATACAAAAAAGGGGGAGAGAGAGAGAGAGAGAGAAATGGACAAAAGAAGAGAAGTAGATCACACGACGTTTATGTGGCAGGTCTTTGCCATACTGCAGAAGTGCAAAATGTAAAAGATTTCCAAATAACTACTTACAAGTTACAGCTGGCAAATAACACAATAAAATTGGATTTACTTCAAAGTTGATCAAGTCTTCGTGTGCCAATGTCAAATATTTGCAAATAATTAATTGAGGTACTATTGTTTTCTGTTCCATTATAAATAAATTAGAGAAGATAGTAATTTATACTCAGAAGGCTAAAGATCTACTATAAAAAAATAGTAACATTTACCTAGTGGGATAGAACCAGAAGATCTAACAATCTAGTAATGTTCCTACTTCATATACTTGTGAATATAAATCAGTCAATGTGTCGACATGGAAGATTAGGTTTAAGATCATTTTCTTTTGGGGGGGAGGGAGGGAGGGAGAGAGAGAGTACCGACATGGAAGATTAGGTTTAAGATCCACAGTCAACTGGACTGCAGTAAGAAAATTATTTTGATCTCTTGTACCCAATACAGCTCTGGAGTCCCCAATATATCCAATCACAAGATCCTGACCCTGCAAAAGATAATCAAGACATTCTTAAGTCATAACAACTCTTACCACAATATCCCATCCGCATCAGTATTGCACTTATCGTATACCTGCTTCACCAGAGTCACTGCCGTAGTCCCACTGCAGAAGCAATCAGTATTTGCATACATTCTCAGTTCCGTGTCCATAACCTTATAAGCCTTCAGGAAAGATTCCTTCATTGTCTGAAAAATCTCAGGATGCTTTCCCGTGTCATCGCAATCTATAGAAGCTCTAGCTTCCTCGTTAGCAGATACGAAGGATGTACCTTCTGAGCACATACTACCCTTGGTGTTCAAACTGATCCCTCGAAGAACCTCATCACTCTTTATATTAACTTCCCAATGTGCACTTAGCTTCCGAGGAAGAGAATCTCTAACCCGCTTGGCAACCATATGACCGTAAGGGCCGTGGCCATCAAAAACACCACAAAAGACTGTGTCCATTCTAGAACCAAAATTCTGGATATCCAATTTCACAAACTGTCAGTAAACAAAAATCTCTCGAAAGCAACTTGAGAAGGAAAATAAAATAAATGAATTGATATACATACTTGATGTTAATCTCATAAAACTATCACCAAGTTTCTTGACATTTATAAAGTTCAGTAAATAGATTATAAGAAGAAACTGTTTGTGATAAAGAAACAGAGTAATCACTTTCTTAGGCTCTAGAAGGCTTGATCAAGAAACAGAAGACACCAAGTGGATATCTGATTAGAGTTCAAATAATTTCTAGAAGGCTTGAAATGTGAAGAATCGCGAGAGGGAAAAACACACACACACACACACACACAAAACAAATAGTATTATTCAATTTGCAAACTACTAATGTGCAGGCTGCAGAAATTAAAACCAAAGCAATACTTTGAACATATATACAATCACGATAACAACTAATATAATCTAATACACTACAATCATGTTAACTTTTTTCTCAGTCACTCATTTTATTCAAACTATCGCGATAAAGGAGGAGGAGGTAACCTCCCAAACAATCATGGCATCTTGATTTGTTCCTTTCTTGCCTTGTTTGGTAAAGAGTGAGGCAATTTCACTTGATCCATTCAAGAACATACGCCCGGGGGTCCTATGTAGCTGTTCCTCCCTCTTATAGTCAAAGGACGAATTTCGAGAATCAAGCCTCTTCTTCGAGCCCTTCCTCTTCCGTAACCCCACAGGAGAACCAGGTTGGGGGCTCCTGCTATCTGCGGACAAGCAGGACCCCATTCTTAGGGCCCTGATTACGTTCAGTATGCACTCCAGACCAGCTACACAGTCACAATCCCGATTTTCCGTGTTTAGATCCGTAACAGAAATCCCTTTTAAAAATCCATCCAAGATCTTTAGATTCACACTCTCAAACTCTCCACTCAATTCAGATGAATTACCCCTTCACCCAGAGTTCAAATTCCAACAAGGAAATTCACATCATATTCCTTCTAGGAAGCTTTGATTATTAAAAGGAAATGAATTTCAACAACTCACTCAATTTTACCACTAAACCTTCTAATTTATTGGACAAATTCACCTTTTTAATACACTAGAATACAAGAATAAGCTTCCAACCCAAAAAGAAATAAATTTTACACTTACCCTTAAATGGCCCTGAACGCACAATAGCTATTACTTAAATACAACTAATACCTTACCCTCTTTCATTTTCGTTTTATAATAATAATAATTATAACGGAATGCAAAAGGCTAAAAAGGGTAGCACTTCAATATCCATTAACTGTAGAAGACATTTCAATTGCTTGAAAGCCCACAAATTCAAGTAGATCAATCAGAGAGCTCAAGATTATTCAAGAATTCCAAAAAAATCCCTTGCATTCCTGCCAAGAGAAGACAAAATTTTCAATTAATTCCATGAAACGAAAAAAAAAAAGTGAATTTGAATAACAATAGATCAAACCCATAAAAGCCATTTATCGATTGACACAATTTTCATGTATTGATGGAAAAATTGAACTCTGGAATTAAAAGTACTGCAACAAATGGTCGAGATCAAAGGAGAGAAAAGTGGGTCCTTTGAAACAGAACCTGAATCGAGAGACAAATAGCTAAAAAGGAAGAGAGAGAGAAATTATCTCCATTGAACTTGCAATTCCAATTTAAGTAACGCACTAAATTGCAATCCCAATGAATGCTAGTAGCATTTAGGAGGCTTGGCGTGTGTGAATTGTGAAACATCCTTGACCCTGTTTGTCATTTTCAACGTTAATTTTTATATATGTCACGGCGGCATCTAATTCGTCTTTTTAATTCCTTTTTTCTTTTTTTTTCATCCTTCAATATATCCTGTCATTTGTTGTCTGTAAAAATTTTCTACATTTGTAGCATGATTATCAATTTTTTTTGGAAGAAAGTATTGTTAAAAGATTAAACTGGTGGTACATGATCAATGACAGGAGCTATTTTGAGGTGCTAAGACGACAATTTTTAATCGGCAGCTTTTTTAATTTTTTTTTAATTGCCAGTGAAACTTCCAGAAAAGTATTGTTAAAAGGATTAAACGGTTGCACAAGGTCAATAATATGGGCTATTTTCAGGTGCTAAAACGATAGTTTTTTATTGACAACTTTTTTTTTTTAACTGTCAATGAAATTTTGTCAAGTATATATCTGTATAGAATCTTGTTATTGACCATGTTTTTGTAACAAATATGTTTTCAAAACTTAAAAGTAGAAATAGTTATGAATTCACAAACAAAATTATTTTATAAAAATAATGTATAATTGAAAATAAATTTAAAGAAAATATGAGTTTTGAAAAATTTATACCACAATCGCTTATCTGTATAAAATTACTGGATTGTATATATATCAATTTCTAATAAATGAAAAAGATAATTGTATTCACGACTCCAAACATTTTAAATTGTTGTAGATTTTACGATAAGCTACCATTTTTAGAAATATTAATCTCAAACCTTTCAATCTTGTGTGGCGAAATGACATTTGGACGATTTTCATAGAGATGTTTGATCAAAATTCAAGGTTTTGACTATATTTTAATCAATTTAAAAATGACACTGATAAATTTATATTTTTCCACCAAAAAAAAAACTCTCCGTCCCTACCCACCCACAACCGCTAGCATTGAACCAAATAACGTGCAAAGGAGTAACGAGCCGGTGTGTAAGAGCTAATCGCCGCCTTATCCATTAAAGACGTCTCGCTTCCTCAATTTTGCAAACAGTAGAGTCAAATTTTTATGTCCAATAACTTTAACAATCCTTCTACCGTCGCCGCCACCAAGTTCCTCCTATGTCTTATCTTGAGTAAAAAATCTTCGAAATTTTTCTTTAGTATCCCCTCACCCTTCGACTACTCTTAGGTGAATCAAATTTGAAATAAAATTATCCACGACCCCACCTTCTTTTTCTTCTTATTCAGGTTTGGAAACCAGGGTAGAAACCAAATCGTTTAACATTTCCGTCAATGTTGCTCCTGACTATAGGCGGGGTAGGCAATCGCCTAAGGCCCTCGCTTAGGTGAGGGCCCCAAAAAAAATACTATATAGATTATATTTATAAATAATAAAGAATTTTTTTTCAAAAAAAGTTTTATATTCTTCAAAGCGTAAAGGAAATTTTTAATACATTTGTAACTTTCAATTTTTTATTTTTTTTTCTCATTTTTAGGGGTGACTTTCATTTTCTCTCCTTTCTTTTCTTCTCTTTCATTTTTTGCAATTTTATAGCTTACATTTACATTCTTTGAAAGTAATATTGATAGTATTATGTGCATAATATAAGCTATTTCTATAATGTAAATGTCCAACACTTAAGTCACTATACAAACATATTGACAAATTCAGTAGGAAATGTTAAAATATAAGATTTCAAACTCTATAAATAAAAGTCGTTTTAAAACCCTTGATGGAAACATGCGATAACCCCAATGTATTTAGAGATGCCAAGAGTTTATTTTATGACATTATGAATTTTGAGTTTATGTGACATGGTTGTTGGTACAAGTACATAGTCTGTTATTAATAAAGTAAGTAAAATATTGTAAAGTGAGAACGTGTGTATTGATTTTGATATTAGTCACTTGAAAGCACTTATTTCATTTTTTTGAAATATACAGATAAATTTAATTTGAATATAACAAGATTACTTCTAATTGAGCCCACTTCTCATGAAAAAGTTATTATTCATATGAAGAAGCATTTTAATGAAAATATCAATGATATGATAATGCATTCGGTTGAAGAATCTTGTAGAGTTGATTATTTTTTATATGTAGTTGGTCGAGCAATTTTTTTACTTAAATTAAGGTTCGAAAAATTTCAAAAATATAAAAATAAATTTGAGTTTCTATTTGATTTTAAAAGTTTTCAAATTGCAAATGATAATTGTTTGAAGCAATGGTGTGATAAGATTGAAGATTTTTTGAAACACAACAAGGTTTCCGATATCGATGGGTAGGAGTTAATTTTCGAGCTGCAATTGTTTGAATTTTTTTTGTCAAAAAGGCTGCATCTGCCAATATGAGTTTCTAAAAGTTAAAATTGATAAAATCCTACATCCGATCAACAACGAGAAATGTTGAATGGATCATCTATGGTGTCCATTTAAAAGAAGTTATAAAACAATTTGATTTTAATAGTATAATTGTTGATTTTCTATGAAAATTTCAAGAAGAATAAATTTAATTTAGATATTTGAAAGTTGTATATTATTATTTTCATAGCTTTGAATATTATTATTAATGAAAATTGCAAATGGTGAACAGCAACTTTAACGATAAAGTTTATTTGGATAGAAGTCAAGGAACGACAGGAAGTTATTTGGCTTCCTTGCTAATATTTAAGACTAATTTGACTAACCATCAGTCTTGTTTTTAATTATTGTATATATATTTTTTAAATATTTATATTTATAAGAGCATCTTATGTATTATAGAAAATATAGGCGGAGCCAAGAATACTATTCAGTACAGACACAATTTATCAATGTCGAACTTTGAATTTTGGGCTTTGGATTTAATAATGATTAAAAAATAAAATAATATTACGACAATACTAAAACTTTTTTGATCCTCATTTTTTTCAAAATATTATTTTCAACCAAACATTTTTTAATAAAATAATAATACACACAACCAAAAAAATTTCCTCCATTTTTAACCACATATTCTCCATCAATCTACTATTTCAAAATTCATTCTGCACAAAAAAAAAATGGACTCAAACATGCCCTAAAAAAATGACATAATTTATAAATTACACTTATTCCTTACGAGCTTTTATATTTTGATATCGTTGTACAATGATTTCGTTATCAATCTTCAAAAATATATTGTACAATGACTTCACTACGTAGAAGACGAGAGTGAGAGGTTGAGGTTAGGCGCCAATCGCCGAGCGGAGAGGCAGAGAGAACAAGGGAAATTTGTTTTTTTTTTTCTACGTGTTTTTCCTTTGCGTGGTCGAGTGTATGATTCAGAAATTTGTGGGGTGTTTTTTCTCTCGAATTGTCCATAGTCCAAAGCTTAAAAGCTTAAAAAAAGGAGAACAATACATTTCTCAGGCATTTACTTTACACCATTCAAATTTCAAAAATCGGATTTTTTAAATTTTTATTTATGAAATAATGGATTATTAAATCAACTTATTATTAAATATTTAATTCTAATATAACATAAATACCCCCATCCCCCTCCACCACCCCTACCGCTCCAGTGACTATTCCGACTACTGTTTCGTTTACAACTCTTCTCCAACGATTGTTTCGACGATCGCTCCGATTCCGGTGGCTATTCCGATTCCCGCAAGTGTTCCAACTCCGACGAATATATTAAGGTCACAAATCTATGCAATTTGGTCACAATTCAGAAAATTTTAAGTCACAATTCAAAATTTTCACACAAATTAAAAATTTAAAAGTCACAATTTGTTCATTGGTCACAAATCACAAAATTTATAAGTCACACTATTTATTTTATGGTCACAAACATCACATTAATTGAACATAGATTATATTTAGGTCACAATTTAAATATTTTTTAGTCACACGGCATGTATTGGTCACAGTTTATCTAATTCATTGGTCACACAACAAACAAAAAATTGGTCACAATCAACCAAATCATTTGTGACCACCACTTCGTCACTGCATCCACCAGCGGCTGCGACACCACCATTGTTGCCGCCCAATACCAACATCAACATCTCAAAACGAACACCAAACCCTTCCAGCACCACTATCACCACCCCAAAAT